CACATCTCAATAAACACTAGAAAGTATTGTGATAATCATCTTTGAAATATGCTAGCATTGAGAAGCGGGCATTTGTGTCTGCATTACAGACTGTGAAGTGCACCTTTTTCATATTAGGATGTTGACTTTCATAAGATATTATAGTCATGTACACTACTTCCTGGTTAGGAGGTAGGTGATAAGTATAATGAAAACATGAGACCTGAGTTGGCAAGATTGCCCAGTGGGTAAAGCACCCACTATGCAGGTGTGAGTACCATAACTCCAGTCTCTAGAACACATGTTAAACTAGGTGTGGTGTGTTTCTGTAATCAGTGCTCATACTGTGAGGTGGGAGGGGGAGACAGGAGAACTCCTGGAGCTCAGGACAGCTAGCCTGGCACCTATAGAAGCAAATAGCAAGAAACTGGGAAGGTACAAGGTAGGAACCAACATGCAAGCTTGTCCTCTGACTGACAAACCAGTGACATGGCACACTCATACTGGCACTAACACACACAAACACGTACATGCATTTGCACGCACTCAATCTCGGGCTAGAAATATGGCTCAGCAGTTAAGAACACTTGGTGCTTTTGCAGAGAACCTGGGTTTGGGTCTCAGAACCAACAGGATAGCTCACAACCATCTGAAACTCCAGTTCCAAAAAAAAAATCTGATGCTCTCTTCTGGCATCTGCAGGTCCTGCATACATGCATAGGTAAAACACTCATGCACACTGAGTTTTTCATATTTAAAAGAAAAATAATAAACAGGTAAAATGCAAGGTAGTGCCAATGTTAACAGGGCAGAAAGAATTAAAAATAAAATAGCAATTCCAAAAGAATGTAAATGAGGCTGAAGAGATGACTCAGCAGGTAACGAATTTGCTGTGAAGCCTGGCTGCCTGAGGTTGATCTCTGGGGCCCACATAGCAGAAGAAGGGAACGGACTTCTTCAAGCTGTGTTTCAGCCTCCACACATGCACCATGGCACACATGTGCATATAAAGAAATACATGTGCTTGAAAAGAGTGTAAATGAAATAATCTGAGAAGTTAGAACTGCTGGAGAGAAGAGATTTGGAAACACAAACTGTAAGGACTCCCAGAGGGCGACCAGGCTCACCATCATAGTCCAGCTGGGATATTAGACTAGAGGAATCAGTCCAGCACACAGGAAGGTGATGCTAAGAGCCACCACAGTGCATTAATGGGAACTTAAAACTTTTTCTTGAATTTTAATTAGAAAGAAGATTATTTTACAAGTCAATCCCAGGTCCCTCTCCCTTCCCTCCTCCCCTGCTCCTCCCCCCCCCCAACTAACACCCTACCTATCACATACCCTTTCTGCTCCCAGGCCAGTGTGAGGCCTTCTATAGGGGGTCTTCAGAGTCTGTCATATTCTTTGGGATAGGGCCTAGGCCAACCCCCTTGTGTCTAGGCTAGGGATATCCCTCCATGTAGGATGGGCTCCCAAAGTCCATTCCTATGCTAGGGTTAAGTACTGATCCACTACAAGGGGCCCCATAGATTTCTGAGGTCTCCTCACTGACACCCACATTCAGGGGGTCTGGATCAGCCCCATGCTGGTTTCCCAGCTATCAGTCTGGGAACCAAGATAGCTGCTGGATGAGGGCTATCGGGTGGCATATAAGTCAGTCATCAATCTCATTATCAGGGGAGGGCATTTAAGGTAGCCTCTCCTCTGTTGCTTAGATTGTTAGCTGGTATCATCTTTGTAGGTCTCCAGACATTTCCTTACTGCCTGATTTCTCTGTAAACCTAAAACGTCTCCCTCTATTATGGTATCTCCATTCTTGTTTTCTTCCATTCTTCCCCTGACTCATACTTTCTGCTTCCTCATGTCTTCCTCAGCCCTCCTCTTCTCCCCTTCTCATTCTCTTAGCTCCTTCGCCCCTCTTCCTGTGCTCCCAATTTGTTCAGGAGATCTTGTCCCTTTCCCCTTCTCCAGGGGACCATGTATTTCTCTGTTAGGGTCCTCCTTGTTTACTAGCTTCTCTGGCAGTGTGGACTGCAGGCTGGTAATCCTTTACTCTAGTCTAAAATCCACATATGAGTGAGTACATACCATGTTTGTCTTTGCGACTGGGCTACCTCGCTCAGAATGGTTTCTTCTAGTTCCATCCATTTGTCTGCAAATTTCAAGATTCCATTGTTTTTGTTTTTTT